AACAGAGAGGAAACAAACAAGGACATCTAATCACCTCTCAACAAAAGTTTGCTCGAGGCACTGTCAGGCCATTATATGCTAATCAAGGTGGTCAGTTGAAACATTCACACCTAGCTCCAGCAGACAAGAGTCCTTTGTCTCACCCTGGTCATTCCACAGATATATAAACCCTTTTTCCTAGTTCCAACAGACCTCACTACCTCTGAGGATGCTTGCCATAGATGCAGGCGAAACGTCAGGAGAGAATGCCTCTAGACCATGGCCATATAGCCCGAAAAAACTACAACAACCCAATGAAGTATCTAGACCAAACTTGGCACAAATATTCCATATGCTCAAATATGAGCACAGATGGAGTTTGAGGGAAATAGACCTTGACATTTGGGAGTTGTAGTTGCTGGGATTTATAGTTCACCTACAATCAAAGAGCATTCTGAACTCCACCAACAATAGATTTGGGCCAAACTTCCCACACAGAACCCCCATGACTAACAGAAAATACTGTGTTTTTGGATGGTCTTTGGTGACCACTCAGGTTGAGAAACGCTGAGTTAGGCGATGAATGGCTCAAGCTTCATTCAGTGAGTTTCAGCCCTTAATCTGGCTGTCTGCTTCTGCTGATTTCCCTGGAGTTCTGCACTGTTTTGCGAGCCTTTCTCCTGGCTTTTGGGATAAGGTTCATCCTTCCTTCCAACCAGTTTGCCAAAGTAAGGCCTTTGAACTTGACTTGGCATCTCATGGGGCAGGGGAATAAAAGAAACAGTTGGCCGGCCATAGCTCTTGACCTCTGCTCTCCGCTCTTCTAGTTTATCTGGATTTCCTTTTGCATCTGGTGCTGGGAATTTAAAAGGCTCTCACCTCTTTTGCAAAGGAGACCTCTGCCTCCTCTCCTCCCTCCTTTGAATCTTCCTCTGCTCTGCTCTTTCTTCTCTTTAAATATCATTTCTTGTCTGACCTTTCTGTTTTTCTTCCCTTCCCTTTTCCCCCTTTTCTTATTCTTTCTTCTAATCGCCAGTCTCTTCTCCTACCCCTTCTTCTTTTTTATGTATTATGTATTGTCGAAGGCTTTCATGGCTGGAATCACTAGGTTCTTGTAGGTTTTTTCGGGCTATAGGGCCATGTTCTAGAGGCATTTCTCCTGACGTTTCGCCTGCATCTATGGCAAGCATCCTCAGAGGTAGTGAGGTCTTCAGTGGTTCCCTTGATGTATGGCAGGAACACTTTTCCTCTTGGTGGATCTTCATCTTGACTCTCGTGGCTTGTTCTTGGTCTTGCAGCTCTTCTGATGTCTGAGGTGGAGTATCCATTGGCCTGGAGAGCCCAGTTGAGGTGGTTCAGTTCCATCTTGGAGGAGGTGGGGTTCGCAGATTCTTTTTGCACAGTCCGCCAAGGCTTTAATGGTGCTTCTTTTTTGACTTGGGTGATGGTTGGAGTTTTTATGTAGATATCTATCTGTGTGTGTGGGTTTTCTGTAGACGGTGTGACCCAATTGTTGATCTGGTTTGCGGATGACTAGGACATCTAGAAAAGGCAGTCTTCCTTCATTTTCTTTTTCCATGGTGAATTGGATGTTTGGGTGGATGCTGTTAAGATGGTCCAGGAACCTGTTGAGTTCTTCTTCTCCATGGCTCCAAATGGTGAAGGTGTCATCCACATATCTGAACCATATCGTGGGCTTTTTGGTTGCTGTCTCCAGGGCTTGTTTTTCAAAGTGTTCCATGTAGAAGTTAGCTATGACCGGGCTGAGAGGGCTCCCCATAGCTACTCCATCTTTCTGTTCGTAGAATTCATTGTCCCACTGAAAGTAATTGGTGGTGAGGCAATGGTGAAACAGAGCCGTGATGTCTTCTGGGAACCTCTGGTTGATGAGTGCCATGGTGTCTGCTACCGGGACCATGGTAAATAGAGATACCACATCGAAGCTGATCAGTTTGTTGTTGGTATTTAGCTTGAGATTGCTGATTTTTTCTATGAAGTGGGCTGAGTCCTTGATGTAGTGTGTAGTGAGCCCAATATGGCTTTGTAACTGTGCAGCAAGAAATTTTGCTAGGTCGTATGTGGGGGATCCAATGGCACTCACAATGGGTCTGAGTGGGGTGGAGTCCTTATGGATTTTTGGGAGTCCATAAAGCCTGGGTGGATGGGCTTCCCATAGATGCAGGCGAAACGTCAGGAGAAATGCCTCTAGAACATGGCCATATAGCCCGAAAAAACCCACAAGAACTGAGTGATTCCAGCCATGAAAGCCTTCGACAACCTCTGTGTCTCAACCTGGGGGTTGGGACCACTGGGGAGGTTGCGAAAGGGGTGTCAGAGGGGTCACCAAAGACCATCAGAAAACACACTATTTTCTGATGGTCATGGGGGTTCTGTGTGGGAAGTTTGGCCCAATTCTATCCTTGATGGGGTTCAGAATGCTCTTGTATTGTAGGTGAACTATAAATCCCAGAAACTATAACTCCCAAATGTCAAGGTCTGTTTTCTCCAAAACTCCACCAGTGTTCACATTTGGGTATATTGAGGGTTCGGGCCAAGTTTGGTCCAGACCCATCATTGTTTGAATCCACAGTGCTCTCTGGATGCAGGTGAACTACAACTCCAAAAGTCAAGGTAAGTGACTACCAAATCCTTCCAGTATTTTCTGTTGGTCATGGGAGTTCTGTGTGCCAAGTTTGGTTCAATTCTATCGTTGGTGTGGTTCAGAATGCTCTTTGATTGTAGGTCAACTATAAATCCCAGCAACGACAACTCCCAAATGTCAAGGTCTGTTTTCCCCAAACTCCACCAGTGTTCACATTTGGGCATATTGAGTATTTGTGGCAAGTTTGGTCCAGATCCATCATTGTTTGAGTCCACAGTGCTGTCTGGATGTAGGTGAAATACAAGTATTTTCTGTTGGTCATGGGAGTTCTGTGTGCCAAGTTTGGTTCAATTCCATCGTTGGGGGAATTCAGAATGCTCTTTGATTGTGGGTTAACTATAAATCTCAGCAACTACAACTGCCAAATGACAAAAGCAACCCCCCCCCCCTGCCCCCAAGCCCACCAGTATTCAAATTTGGATGTATCTGGTATTTGTGCCAAATTTGGTTCAGTGAATGAAAATACATCCTGCATTTCAGATATTTACATTACAATTCATAACAGTAGCAAACTTACAATTACGAAGTAGCAACGAAAATAATGCTATGGTTGGGGTAACTACAACATTAAGAACTGTATTAAGGGGTTGTGGCATTAGGAAGTCTGAGAAACACTGACCTAGGGACTGCCATTATGTTACAAAGTATTGCTCAGTGATATCCATTGAAGTGACTATTGCACCGCAGTACAAGTGCCATAGGTTCTGGAGCACATTGGTGCACTCTCCAGTATGTATCAAGGGACTGGCTAAGAAGTGCGACCGCAAAGTGTGAGATCCTGATACACACCAGAAGGGCCCAATGCACATTGACATTTTCTATTGCATTGTCACAATCCACCAACAGGGCAGAGTTGCATTTCTGCAATGTAGTTACACATACATAAAGTTGCAAAACACAGTGCTTGGTGTAGGAACAGCAATTATAATCAATTATATTGGGTTGTTGTAGGTGTTTTCGGGCTATATGGCCATGTTCTAGAGCAGTGTTTTTCAGCCTTACTAATGCCAAGACCCCTTAATGCAGTTCCTCAAGTTGAGGTGACCCCCAACCATAACATTTTCGTTGCTACTTCATAACTGTAATTTTGCTACTGTTATAAATTCTAACGTAAATATCTGATATGCAGGATGTATTTTCATGCACTGGACCAAATTTGGCACAAATATCCAATACACCCAAATTTGAATGCTGTTGGGTTTGAGGGAGATTGGTTTTATCATTTGGGAGTTGTCTGATTGTCATATTAAATATTGCTCATGGAAAGAGGATGCAAACATAGGTCTGCTGTATCCCTATTGGCAGGAGAACAGAGCCCTATTGCTTGCAGCAGCAGCTGTCTAGTAAATATGGAGACTGGACTGGGCCATGGTACACTGCTTAGCTAGGTATTTTAATAATGTATTCATTTGTATCTTGCTTTTCCCCAATATTGGAACTCAGCTTACAGAATACTACAGGTCGGGCATCCTTTATCCAGAATTCCAAAATACTTCAAAATAGGTTCTTGTGGGGGTTTTTTTGGGCTATATGGCCATGTTCTAGAGGCATTTTCTCCTGACGTTTCGCCTGTATCTATGGCAAGCATCCTCAGAGGTAGTGAGGTCTGTGGGAATTAGGAAAATGGGTTTATATATCTGTGGAATGACTGGGGTGGGGCAAAGAGCTGGAGCTGGGTGTGAATGTTTCAACTGACCACCTTCATTAGCATTTGAAGGCCTGGCTGAGCCTGGGGGAATCTTTTGTTGAGAGGTGTTAAGATGTGCCTGGTTGTTTCCTCTCTGCTGTTTTGCTGTTGTAATTTTAGAGTTTTTTAATACTGGTAGCCAGATTTAATACAGGTAGCCTGCCCCACCCCAGTCATTCCACAGATATATAAACCCATTTTCCTAATTCCCACAGACCTCACTACCTCTGAGGATGCTTACCATAGATGCAGGCGAAACGTCAGGAGAAAATGCCTCTAGAACATGGCCATATAGCCCGAAAAAATCCCACAAGAACCTAGTGATTCCAGCCATGAGAGCCTTCAACAATACTTCAAAATAGTCCACGTGGTGGGCTGAGATAGTGACCCCTTTGCTTGCTGATGGCTCATTGTACACAAACTTGGTTCATCCACAATGTTATTTAGAAGTATCGTTTGTAAAATTACCTGGCTGTATGTATCAGGTATATCAGAAACATAAATGAATTTCATGTTTAGACTTGAGTCCCAAATTTCAAAATGCTTCTGGTCCCAAGTGTTTTTGGATAACAGATATTCAACCTCCTTTACCTTTCTTTCTTCCTTCCTGTCTTCCTTTTCTACTTTCTTTCCCCCTCTTTGCCTATTCTTTCCCCTTCTCCTTCTAAAAAGGTGGAAACCATCTCCGACTCCGACACAGAAAGTAGAAGCCACAGAGAGGTCCACTCCATCGGGGTCCAAGTGGAAGAAGATAAAAGGTATGGCTGGTTAAACATCCGTCTTGTTGCTTGTCTGTCACCGGCTATCAGCCCTCCTGAACTTGCAGCTTTGCAAGCTGTTGCATCCGCTCAGTTGCCATTGAATAAATGTGTCCTCCAGTGCCCTTTTCTCCCCAGATCAATATTCTCAGCACAAGCCTACAAAGATTCGCTAAAGAAAGAAAGATTCATAGAGCCACTGATGTTGGCTACGAATAGCAGCTGATTTGTCCCTGGCTTCTTGAAGATAAAGCTGCAAGCACCGTGCTTTGTTCATGGAATTGTAGGCATGGTCCAGAAAATGTCATCATCTTCTATAACTTACCTGTATTTTCTAATGGCTTTTTCATTTTTTTTTCTTTGCAATCTCCTCCTCAACAAAGAAACTCTATTAAGTAGTATAAGATGGAATTGTTACACAAAGGCACAGTCGCAGTTACAAATCTCTAACCTAAAGTGACATACTAGTGGCCAGATCTTATTTATGATCCCTACATATCCAATAGTGTTAAGAAAATGTGAGGTTCATGAAAGTCTTCCAGTTCCAATAGCACCACAGCCACAGCAAACAACAGAAGTCTGTTCTCCGTCAATCTATATATATAAAAAGAGAAACAGCGTCCAACGGGACAGCAAAATTCAAAAAAACCCTGATGAAAATTTACCAAATTTACCATGCACTTACCTCAACCCACAAGGTATGCACAAATCGATTCAAAATACTAAACAACATTAAAACACACTCACAATTAGACAAAACAACTGAGCATGTGCAATGGCGCCCCGCCGCAAGTCGCTGGCGCGCGCACATGGCCGGCCGGCCAACGCACCCTCCACGCAAGCCACGCCTCCATCCCCCGTCGCCCAGCACGTACCCTCCCATACGCCCTCTTTCCAATGCACCCTCCTTCTTCTATCCCCACCCACGCCGCCCACGTTCACGCCACGCCCCCTCCCTCCCCCGCCCTGCCCCTAAACGCCCATACCCCAACCTTACCTCCTCCCCCTCCTTCTTCCTCCCCCTCCAGGACAGAAAAGGGTGGATTCAGCTCTGGCCAGGATGGACACGGGGGGGGGGACAGCATCCCACACACCCCGTGTGCTTTTTGGGCGCAGACGCACGCATTTCAGAGAGAAGGCCCACACATGGGGAGACCATGAAAGCCAAGGGGAAGGCCGGGGGCCTGGTGGCGCCCCACATGGTGGACAGGCCCGGCCCAGGGGGGGAGGGAGGGAGGGAGAGTGGCCCTGTGCGCCTTCCCTTTTCCTGCCCCTTCGCCTTGCAGGGTGGATTCAGGGGCCACAGGGACCCCAACGGGGACGAGGAGGCAGACCCAGGCCCTGAGGCATGCCCCTTCCCGGGGGTCCTGGCGCACCCCCTGCTCTCTCTCTTTCTCTCTCTCTCCCGCGCTGGAGGGCAGCCGGAGGACGAGGGAGGGGCCGGGCGATGGCCAAGGAGGGCGACGGGCACCCCCTCCTTCCCGCAGCCGCTTCCCCTTTAAACATACAAATGAGCCTCCCGGGCAGCCAATCGGGACCGAGGCTGCTCCACAGAGGCCGCGCCCACCCCCGAGAGGCCTCCTCTTCTTCTTCTTCTCCCGAGGGAAGGAGGGAGGGAGGGGAGCGTGACATCACTCGGGTCCCACCCCCATTGGGAGGAGGCATGATATGAAATGAAGGAAGGAGTGAAAGAAGGAGAGAAAGAGGGAGAGAAGGTTGGCCACAGCAATGCGTGGCGGGTAAAGCTAGTAGATTATCATTTCCATCCCCGATTTCTATTGCAAGGGGGAATTAAAACAGGAATTCTGCTTCTGAATGTCATAATAAATATTGCTCATGGAAAGAGGATGCAAACATAGGTCTTCTGTATCCTGATTGGCAGGAGAACAGAGTCCTATTGCTTGCAGCAGCAGCTCTCTGGTAAATATGGAGAGGCGATTGGGCCATGATACACTGCTTGGCTTGGTATTTTAATAATGTGTTTTAATGTTTATATTGCTTTTAATTTTTGTTTTAAAGTATATATATCTTTGATTTTTTGTTGATATTGTTTGTTGAAAATGTGAGGATCACAAAAGTCTTCCAGTTCAAATAGCACCGTAGCCACTGCAAGCAACAAGGGTCTGTTCTCCAGTCAACAGACTATTGTTTCCATCTCCGATTTCTAGAGCAAGGGGAAAGTATAACAAGAATTCTGCTTCTGATTGTCATATTAAATATTGCTCATGGAAAGAGGATGCAAACATAGGTCTGCTGTATCCCTATTGGCAGGAGAACAGAGCCCTATTGCTTGCAGCAGCAGCTGTCTAGTACATATGGAGAGTGGACTGGGCCATGGTACACTGCTTAGCTAGGTATTTTAATAATGTGTTTTAATGTTTATATTGCTTTTAATTTTTTGTTTATAGTGTCTAGATCAGGCATGGGCAAACTTTAGCCTTCCAGGTGTTTTGGACTTCAACTCCCACAATTCTGGGAATTATGGGAGTTGAAGTCCAAATCACCTGGAGGGCCAAAGTTTGCCCATGTCTGATCTCGATCCAGGGAAGTCATGCTACCCCTCTATTCTCCTTGGTCAGACCACACCTGGAATACTGTGTCCAGTTCTGGGCAGCACAATTGAAGGGAGATGTTGACAAGCTGGAATGTGTCCAGAGGAGGGCAACTAAAATGATCAAGGGTCTGGAGAGCAAGCCCTATGAGGGGTGGCTTAAAGAGCTGGGCATGTTCAGCCTAAAGAAGAGAAGGCTGAGAGGAAACATGATAGCCATGTATAAATACGTGGGAGGAAGTCATAGGGAGGAGGGAGAAAACTTGTTATCTGCTGCCCTGGAGAGTAGGACGCGGAACAATGGCTTCAAACTACAAGTAAGGAGATTCCACCTGAACATTAGGAAGGACTTCCTGACTGTGAGAGCTGTTCAGCAGTGGAACTTTTTGCCCCTGAGTGTAGTGGAGCTCCTTCTTTGGTGGCTTTTAAATAGAGGCTGGATGGCCATCTGTCAGGGGTGCTTTGAATGCAATTTTCCTGCTTCTTGGCAGGGGGTTGGACTGGAAGGCCCACAAGGTCTCTTCCAACTCTATGATTGTATGATTCTATGTGTTGATTTTATTGTTTGTTGATATGGCATTGCATTGCTGCCAATTGTAAGGCCGCCATTAGTCCCCTTCAGGTTGAGAAGGGTGGGATGTAAAGACAGTAAATAAATACATACATCTAAGGTAGTTAGATCATTAAATAGATGAACTAGAATCTTGGCCAATATCTTTTGACCAAACGTATTTGGAAGCAACCTCACTGGGTCATTGAAAAAGGTGAATGTCTATTCTTTGCTACGAATAGATGCCTAAGCAATAATAGAATCGTGAAGTTGGAAAATCCCGCAAGCAGTATCTAGTTTCACTCCCTGCTAGCACTAGAATTCACTAATAAAGCACTCCCGGGAGATGCTGATCTAAGTTCTGTTTCAAACCCTCCAACCAAGCAGAGCCTGCCACCCTCAGGCTGTTTGCTGAGGGAACTATATGGGTACTCCATGTTCCCAACTAAAACCAAAGTGAATTTTAAGTACGAAGAGTTGCCTCGTTCTTAGCGCACAGTGCATGCAATAATTATCTACAAGTGGAAGAAAATATAATCTATATAAACAGATTATATCAATGTTAGGGGGCTTTTTTTTTTTTTTGGAAGGACATCCACCATGTCAGGAGCCCCCGGTGGCGCAGTGGGTTAAACACCTGTGCCAGCAGGACTGAAGACCGATAGGTCGCAGGTTCGAATCCGGGGAGAGGCGGATGAGCTCCCTCTATCAGCTCCAGCTCCTCATGCAGAGACATGAGAGAAGCCTCCCACAAGGATGATAAAAACATCAAATCATCCGGGCATCCCCTGGGCAACGTCCTTGCAGATGGCCAATTCTCTCACACCAGAAGCAACTTGCTCCTGACACGACAAAAAAAAATCCACCATGTCGACTGGAAATGCTCCTGGGGGCAAGGATTGCAGAGTGGAACTTCTAGAAGGAAAGTGTTTAGTAATACAGTCCTTCTGTCTCCCCTCACCTTTGGTTTGTGTGTGTTTGTGTGTGTGTGTGTCAGAAGTGGCTTGAGAAACTGTCATTTCTGGTGTGAAAGAATTGGCCATCTGCAAGGGCTTTGCCCAGGGGACGCCGGGATGTTTTAGCATCCTGTGGGAGGCTTCTCTGATGTCCTTGAATGAGAAGCTGGAGCTGATAGACGGGAGTTCAACCCGCTCCCCAGATTCCCCAGAACCTTTCATTAAACAGAGTTTAACCCATTGTGCCACCGGCGTCTCTCCTCACCTTAGTTGGGCTGAGCCAGAGAGCAAAGGAGACCGAACAAAAACAAGTGGTGGCCAATGGCTGCTGTGTCGACAGTACAGTATAGTCTCGCTTATCCAACCTTCGCTTATCCGACATTCTGTCTTATCCGACACTCTTATCCAATGCTCCCTTTTCCTCAAGCATTTCCCCTTCAGTTAAAGGAGTGCTCCCAACTCTCTCTCCATTCTCAATAAGTGAAAAAAGCAAAGCAAGGAGAAGGAGGAGGACAGACGGAGGAAAGGGGGAAAAGAGGCAGGACTGGAAGCAGAAGCATCCCTCTTCCTTCCCTCTGTGATTTCCACGCTCCTCTTCCGTACCCAGGTACTTTTTCTAGTTCTCTCTAGCCCCAAAGCATTGCCTTGCCTCAACCCTTTGAGTCCCTGTTGTTAGTATTCTAGGTGTCTAACACCACGTCAGATGGGTAACAATAGGAGACTCTGATTTATCTGACATTTTCATTTATCTGACATTTTGCCAGTTTGTTTATGTTGGATAAGCGAGACTCTACTGTAGGATAAATCCATGCCAAGTTTTGGATACCTTTAAAGGTGCTGAACTTATTAGAAATGCGGTTCAGTACCTTGGAGAGCCCCATTCAATCCTGGAGTAGATTCACTAGAATTTATTGTCGAAGGCTTTCATGGCCGGAATTACTGG